CTGAAAGATATGTATGAGATGGGATTGGGTTGAAGAAAACATGAATCAGTACCAAAACCTCCCAGGCTCAGTTTAAGAGATTTGTAGAAAGAATATGGGAAAGTCAGCAGTAGGGGATGGAGGCTGTCTTAGGCTGGGCTCTCTGGAGAAGCAAAACCAGTAAAACATATACGTATATATATATATACAGAGAGGTAGAGAGGGATTTATATCAAGGAAATGGCTCATGCGATGTAGAGGCTGCAACGTCTGAAGCCCAAGGGTCAGGATAGAGGCTTTTTTGTTTGTTTGTTTGTTTGTTTGTTTATTGTTGTAGTTTAAGTGAAAGTTTACATTTCAAGTTAGTCTCTTACACAAAAATTTATACATACATTGTTATGTGACCCTAATTGCTCTCCCTATACTGTGACAGCACACTTCTCCTTTCCACCCCTGATTTCCCATGTCCATTCAGCCAGCTCCTAACCCTCTCTGCCTTCTCATCTCACCTCTGGACAGAAGCTGCCCATTTAGTCTCGTGTATCTACTTGAACTAAGAAGCACACTCTTCACTAGTATCATTTTATGTCCCACAGTCTAGTCCAATCTTTGTCTAAAGAGTTGTACTTGGAAATTGTTTTAGTTCTGGGCTGATAGAGAATCCGGGGGCCATGCTTTCTGGGGTTTCTCCAGTCTCAGTCAGACCATTAAATCTGGTCTTTTTACTAGAATTTGAGTTCTGCACCTCACCTTTCTTCTGCTCGATCAGCAACTCTGTTGCGTTCCGTGTGGTAGCTGGGCACCATCTTGTTTTTCTGGTCTCAGGCTGATGCAGTCTTTGGTTTATGTGGCCCTTTCTGTTTCTCGGGCTACTACTTTCCTTGTGTCTTTGGTGTTCTTCATTCTCCTTTACTCCAGGTGGTTGGGACCAATTGATGCATCTTAGATGGCTGCTGGCAAGCTTTTAAGACCCTAGACGCCATTCACCAAAGTGGGATGCAGAATATTTTCTTAATAAGCTTTGTTATGCCAGTTAACCTAGATGTCCTCTGAAAGCATGGTCCCCAGACCCCCACCCCTGCTACTTTGTCCCTCGGAGTGTTTGATTGTATTCAGAAAACTTCTTAGCTTTGGTTTAGTCCAGTTGTGCTGACTTCCCTTCATCTAAGATAGTTCTTGTCTACCATCTAGTTAGTGAATAATCCTCACCCTTCCTCCCCACCCTCATAACCATCAAAGAATGTTTTCTTCTGTGTTTAAACCTTTTCTTGAGTTCTTATGATAGTGGTCTTATACAATATTTGTCCTTCTGTGACTGACTAAATTTACTCAGCGTAATGCCCTCCAGATTCCTCCATGTTATAAGATGTTTCACGGCTTCATCGTTGTTCTTTATCGTTGCATAGTATTCCATTGTGTGAATATACCATAATTTGTTTATCCATTTGTCCATTGATGGGCACCTAGGTTGTTTCTATCTTTTTGTTATTGTGAACAGTGCTGCAGTGTACGTGGGTGTGCATACATCTATTCGTGTGACGGCTCTTAATTCTCTAGGATATATTCCAAGGAGCGAGATAGCTGGATCGTATGGTACTTCTATTTCTAGCTTTTTAAGGAAGTGCCAAATCGATTTCCAAAGTGGTTATGCCGTTTTACATTCCCACCGACAGTGTATATGTATTCCAGTCTCTCCACAACCTCTCCAGCATTTATTATTTTGTGTTTTTTGGATTATTGCCAGCCTTGTTGGGGTGAGATGATATCTCATTGTAGTTTTGATCTGCGTTTCTCTAATGGCTAATGATTGTTAGTATTTCCTCATGTGTCTGTTAGCCGCCTGAATGTCATCTTTGGTGAAGTGCCTATTCATATCCTTTTCCCATTTTTTAATTGAGTTATTTGTCTTTCTGTTGTTCAGGTTTTGCAGTATCTTGTAGATTTTAGAGATCAGATGCTGATTGGATTTGTCATAGCCAAAAATTTTTGCCCAGTCTGTAGGTTGTCTTTTTACTCTTGGTGAAGTCTTTGATGAGCATAAGTTTTTGATTTTTAGGAGCTCCCAGTTATTTAGTCTCTCTTCTGGTGCTTATGTATTGTTACTTATGGTTCGCATGCTGTATGCCATGTATTAGGGCTCCAAGCGTTGTCCCTATTTTTTCTTCCAAGATCTTTATTGTTTTTTATTTTATCTTTAGGTCTTTGATCCATTTGGAGTTAGTTTTTGTGCATGGTGTGACATATGGGTCTTGTTTCAGTTTTTTGCAGATGAATATCCAGTTACGCCTGCACCATTTGTTGAAGAGACTGTTTTTTCCCCAGTTAACGGACTTTGGGCCTTTGTCAAATATCAGCTGCTCATAGGTGGATGAATTTATGTCCGGATTCTCAATTCTGTTCCATTGGTCTTTGTATCTGTTGTACCAGTACCAGGCTGTTCTGACTGCTGTGGCGGTATGATAGGTTCTAAAATCAGGTAGTGTGTAGCCTCCCACTTCGTTCTTCTTCTTCAGTAATGCTTTACTCATTCGGGGCCTCTTCCCTTTCCATATGAAGTTGGTGATTTGTTTCTCCAAAATAGAGGCTTCATCTGATTCATGTAGCTGCAGGGGCTGGCAAACCCAAGATTGTCAGGTTGGAGCGCAGGGCTTTTGCTCCCAGGCTGTGAAGATTGATGAATCCTACGATTGGCAGGCAAGACCACAGGTAAGCTGCTAGCTCAAGTCCCAAGAACCAGAGGTCCGATGAACAGGAGCCAGCTATGGGATCCAGAATGAGCAAAAGCCCACAAGCCTAACCAGAATATCCACTTATATTCAATGCAGGCCACACACCCAAGGAAACGCCCTTTCAGCTTATTGGCTACTCACAGCATGTCCCATCACGGAGGTGATCTCATCATATGAACTCTCATCATGGAGGTGATCACAACATCATATGACTGTCAAACCATTGAGAACCATGACCCAGCCAAGTTGACACACAACCTTAACCATCACAGAGGACAGCATTGAAAGGTTTTAGAACTCAGAGATGCTCACCCCTAAATAGGGGTTTGTGGAAGAGTCCAAATATGGGAGATCTTGCCAGGGAGAAGGGGAATCAAAACCCAACTAATTTCAGTATAGGTGATATAGCATAGCAGTTAATAGTGTTGCCTTTGGAGTCAGAAAGACCTGGATTGAGCCATCTAGAATACAACTGTTTGTCTCTACTTATCAGGAGCAAAAGAGAAAGAGGGAAACAAAAGTCTAAAGAAACTAATCAACAGGTCTGATAGCCTACACGAGCCATGGCCTTATCTACCCTGAGAACTAGAACAACAACAGGGCCACAATAGATGGACCATGATTGAATGGGAGAAGAACATGGAACAGAATTCAAATTCTTAAAAAGTTCAGACCTACTGGGCCAGTTGAGACTAGAGGACTCTCTGAGACTATCGCCCTGAGATACCCTTTAAACCTTGAACTGAGACTATTCCCTGAAGTCAACTTTTAGCAAAGTAACATATTGGCGCACAAAATAAAGGCCATTACCTGTGAGTATGGTGCTCCATTAAAAAACTATATGACACCAAAAGGTCAACAGTTAACTCCAAAGCAAAGATGAGAGGATAAGGGGGAAGGAAACTAGAGTACTGGAAACAGAACAACCAGAAAGCAATTAAGGAGAATGTTGACACTGTGAAAAATGTAACTAATGTCAGTGAACAATATGTGTAGAAATTGTCAAATGGGAACCTAATTTGCTGTGTAAACTTTCACAGAAAGCACAATAAAATACTATTTAAAAAAAAAAAAAATACTTGGATTGAAATTCCAGTTCTCATCACTTACTAGCTGTGAAACTTTGTACAAGCTATATAGCTGCTCTGCTTTGGTGTCATCATCTGTAAAATAGGACAAATAGATTTGTTGTGAGATTTATATGAGATAATTTGTGTTAATTTGCTGTTCTTTTTTTGAAGTCACTTCATATTTAATACCTAGCATGTGGTTAAGGATGTGTTACCAGGAGGTATCAGTCCCTGGAGAAGGACATCATGTTTGGTAAAGTAGAGGGTCAGCGACAAAGAGGAAGGCCTTCAATGAGACGGATTAACACAGAGGCTGCAACAATGGGCCCAAGCATAACAACGATTATGAGGATGGTGCAGGACTTGGCGGAATTTCGTTCTGTTGTACATAGGGTTGCTATGAGTAAGAACTGACTCTGCGACACCTAACGAGAACAGCAATAGTGGTTAAGCACATGGACTCTGAGGTCAGCCACAGTTTGACTCCACTATTTGCTGGCTTTTTGACATAGGCCTAGTAATGTAACCTCTGGCAGCCTTGGTTTTCTCATCTGTGTAATATGATAATAATGGAAGCTACATCTTTAGGATTTTGAGGATTAAATGAGATTTTGCACATGCCTGGACATAGTAAGGAGCCCTCGTGGCACAGTGGTTAAGAACGTGGCTGCTAACCAAAAGGTCGACAGTTCGAATCCACCTGCTGCTCCTTGGAAACCCTATGGGGAAGTTCAGCTCTGTCCTGTAGGGTTGCCTTGAGTCAGAATCAACTCGATAGCAGTGGGTTTAGTTTTTGGTTTGGACATAGTAAGTACTTGATAAATGTAGCTATTGTTCTATGGGTGTTTTTTTTTTGGAGACCCATTCTCTCACTCTTTCTCACACACATACCAAAAACCTTCCCTTGGCCAAAAAAACAAAAGCAATAAAAAATACCAGTACACTAATGGCTTGGGTAAGTAACAGTTTGAAAAGAAATTAGATGTTAGATCCAGGTCTCCAAAACTCCCTACAATTAGAGTTCATGCTAAGACTGAGATTTGGATAAACATACATGGTGTTAAATCTAATGGTATTATTCTGTAATGACTAGCTGTAGATTCTCTGCTCATTTATTTCTTCTTTAATGCACATGTCTCTCTAATTGTTGTCTGTCTGTCTTCTTTGTGACAGGACACTTGAATTGTTAGCCTTAGCAAAAGAGAAATGGAGGAGCCATAGAACATTAAGGATGAATTCAGGAAGGCCCGAGACCATGGAAAACTTGCCTGCTCTGTATACTATTTTCCAAGGAGAGGTATGTTGTTTTGTGCTTTGAATCTACCATTTATGTTAAACACAGATTTAGGGTGAAAAGCAGCTGGATTTGGAGGTCCTGACCATGTGAGAATATCTTGAGCATTTCAGGTTAGCTAGGAAGGGCTAGTGCGGCATCTGGCTATCACACGTACCTCTTCTAAGATCTGGACTCTAACTGTACACTTGATATCTTCGTTTGAATACCTCATAGCATCTCAAATTTATGTTTTAAATTCTTGATTTTTTCTCACCAAACCTGTTTCCCTTCTAGTCTTTTTCTGTCTCAGCAAGTGGAGCCACTATCCACTCAGGTGCCCAAGCTTGAAATCTGGACATCATTTTGAATAATGGGAGAAATCTTGTTTACCCCTCTTGATTTGATCTTGATTTTCCTTCCCTCTCCAGTCTATCAGTAAACCCTATCATTTCTACCTCCTAAATATACCTCCGGTCTGTATGCTTCTCTATCCCCTTGATGCCCCATTAGTTCAAGCCCTCCATCTCTTAACTGGCCTACTACAGTATCCTCCTGCCTGTGTCTTATAGCCCTTTCCAATCTGTTTTTCACAGTTTAGCCAGAATAACAGTTTAAAAACACAAATTGGACCGTGCTGCTTCTGCTCACAGCTTCAGATCCCTCTCGTTATACTTGAATGGATCCAAACTTGTTTTCATGGCCCTTGCATGACTTGACTTCTGCCTCCTCTGACAATGTTGATTTGTTCTGCTCTGCTCATATTCTAGCCACATTGGCCTCCTAACAGCTCTGAACATTCTAAGCTTACTTCCTCCATCTTTTAGATCTCAGCTGTAATATTGTCTTCTCAGAGGCCTTTCTTTTCTACCCTACCTGAATAGGTCCATCCTGTTTTTATTTAGGTACTTGTTTAATGTCTCTCTTCATCACAAGACTGTTAAGTTCCACCAGGGCAGAGCTGTGTCTGTTTTGTTCAGTATTGTATATTTCAAGCACAGGTAGGCAGGTAGACAACAGTAGGTGCTGAATACATTTTTGATGACTAAATGAATGATCAACCTTTGAAGGAGAAGGCATTGTGATTATTTAGAGAGCAGAGACTTTGGAACCAGATAGAACCTGAATTCCAAGCCCAGCTCTTTTACTTACTGAGCCTCAGTTTTCTTATTTGTTAAATAGGATTGCTGTAATGGTTAAATATGCTATCATCTATAAATATATAATGCCTGAGACATAATAGTTGCCCCTTAAAGTTATCTTCCTCCTCTTGAAGCAAAAGTGAAGCCAAGAAAATTTTTTCCATATCTTATATTCTGTATTTTGGGTGCCTGTAGTATTTTAACTATATCATTCTTAAGGAATTTGTACTTGCTTTATGACTGATGAGAATTTTGTCTCCTAATAGTATCAGTTCTCTGAGGGCAGACTTTGTGTGACTGTCAGTTTATAGATAATTGTGGCTCTTGACTTCTGCTAAGTTGATCCCAACTTGTATTATAACAGGCAAGATACAAAGGATAATAACACTAACAAATACTAAACAATTTTGCTTCATTAGAGCCTCTGTCCTCTTTAGAGCCTTTTAGAGCATCTGTCCTCTTTCTTGAAGGCCGAAGGTTTCCCCAAGGGTTGGTAAAGTACCAGCGCTCAGAAAAAGGAAGTGATAGCACTGAAGGTGAAATGGTTTCTCTGATCATGAAGCCCTCACTTGTCAGGTCTACGCAAAAGAGAGAGAAGAGCACTCTGCCTTCCACAGACTGATTCAAAGTTCTGGTAGGGCACTCCTGACTTACAGCTTTTTCTTATATGAGATAAGGCTTGAACTAGCGTAGGTTTTATGTTTTATTTTACTATCAAGGAAGAATGTTACCAGAGAGAACTTTCTGGTTCTAGCTTAGTATTTCAGGAGCACTTTTTGAAAAACCATGGTTTAGAGGTGACTGGAATTAGGGAAAGAGAAATTTCATGATAAATTGGAAAGAAGAAACTATTCTCAGAATATTCATTCAGCAAACATTTAATGACTGTCTAATATTTGCAAAGAAGACCTAGTTACATTATAATTAAATAAATTTTTTTAAGCCTAAATGTATGTCCAGTACTACTGTATCAAGCACTTTCACACATTCTGTCTCATTGAATCTCTTCAAAGAAGTTGTTGTTGACTCCATTATATGGATAAGGAAAGTCTTCTTAGAAGTTAAGTAGATTGCCCAAGGTCACATGGTTAATAACTGGCAAAGCTAGGGTTCTAAATCAGGATCTTTCTCCAAGTCCACTTTCTACTAAACTACAGCTGGAATTGCCAAGCTGTAGGTAAATGCATGGAGGAACCAAAGGACCGATAGAGGAATTCTTTTAACTGAATTGAGGTATAGGCAGAAGGTAGATGGTAAATTTGATTGTTCCACAGTGATTTGTTTGTACCTTTGTTATGGCATCACAGGCTGCCTTGTATCATTGTTACTAAAGTATGTGACTGTCTCCTCCACTAGATTGTGAATTACTGGAGAACAGGGGCCATGGTTGTCTCATATATCTTGATAACTACTTCAGGTTCATTTTAAAGTGGACTGGACATCTTTTTTTTTTTTAAGTTACTTTTATTTCACAGTACCTGACATGGTATCTTGCACGAAGTAGGTGCTTAGTAAATATTTGAATAAAGTTGAATCCAAGTCTTAGGACCAGTTTAGTTGAAGAAACTGGTGGGATAGCCCATATCCTAGCAGTTCTTCTCTTAGCAGGCTCCGCAGGAATGGGGTCCACTAACTGAATAGTTGAGAAGCCAGTATTTATCCTTGTTTTATCCTCTGAGAGGCATCTGGGTGCCAGAGTCCTTTAAGCATGGTAGGGGGTACAAGCATAGCAAGTGGGAATTGGGATTTGGCCAAGCCCTGCTATATCCAAGGAAATGCTGAGGGGAGACTGGTATTGGGAAGGTGGAAATAGCACTGGGTTAGAAAAACAAACTTCTGTGTCTGCTACTTTCTAACTTTGTATCTTTGGGCAAATAACTTAATGTCTCTGAGCCTTAAATTCCTCACTTGCATAATGGGGATAAGTAGTTTCAAGGCCACTGCAACCTCTTATCTGAAGATGATTCATTCGTTTTGCCCAGGCCCTGAGTTCAGTTGAGATAATTACTGAATTTTTTCCCTAAGCCATTTGACTAATTATTTTTGGGGCACCAGACTGTGTGATCATCTATGATAGGTACCGTCTTGTTAATTTTAATTCTGACTGCACTCTAGGAGACATGGTGATAGAAACACCTGGTGCTGGAAGTAGGCAAGAATGCCTTTTCCTAACTGAACAGTTGAATTCATTCATTCTGGAGTATATTAACCTTTTCTTTTGGGAGAGACCAAATTAAGGTCTGTTATGATATTTTCTCTAAAGACCATAATGTGACACTGGAGCTTCAGGATTGAAAAGTGAGATTGTCTTAATTTACAACAGCAAGTGATTTGGGCTCTAACTTCCAGATGCCACTTTTAAGTTTGTTAGATAATTATACCTTTTAATGGTGTTGTTATATGAGACATCTCAGCCCTCTTTCTAGAACCCTGGAGCAAAAGCCAGTCAAAGTACCTTCACTGAGCCCAAAAAGAAGAGATTTGATTTGATTGTAATTAAAAATGGAAATACTTGTCTTCTTTATCCATGTGACCCTGTTTTACGGAGAACAAATTGCTTTATGAAGTTGGGTAAGCATTTCATATCTCTGGTCTTCAGTATCCTTGCTTGTGAAATGACAGGATTGGACCAGCTAATCTCTAACATCTTTCCTTCAGCTCCACCTTGCCTTGATTTTAAATACCAGTGGCTGCTTGATTGTACTGTATCTATAGGACTGTCTGGTCCCTATCCCGGCATAAAGATGTTAATAAGTGTAAAACAGTTTAGAACTTTGTGATTCTTATCCCATTCTTAATGGTGAGTGATTGTGGATTTCTAGTTCAAGTGCTCTATCCCAATATCCCCATTAAAAAATGGGGAGAATGGAAGTTTGTACCTGTTTCCTAACACTGAAGTGAGTAATGGTGATGTTTGGTGAAGTAGGAGTCAAGAGACTAGGTTCTGTACCTAGCTTGTATCTAATTCGGTTGTGTTTTTCTACCAGTCACTAATCTTTTTATGCTTCAGTATCTAAAGTGTAAATTATAAAAAAAGTACAATTTATTTAATGTACATTAGGTGCTAGATATTGGTGCTGAACACTTTACGTGCATAATCTGTTATCTGAAGCAGCAGGATGAGTATAAATGGGAATTTAGGTCCTTAAGGGTGAGTTGTGTTCAGGATCCCACAGATAGGCTGTGATAGAGCTGGGGTTAGAAGCCCCATCTTTTACTCCAAAGCTCTTGCTATTTCTACAACACTATCCTACCCCATCTGCAACATAGGGACCTACCATATATGCTTTCTAAGATTGTTGCCAGGAACAGATATCAGATGTCACATTGCATTTGGCCACTAGAATTTCATAGTTAAAGGGAACCCATGAGCAGCTCCAGTGTAAAGATGTCCTGGGTTCAAATCCCAACTCTTCTACTTACTAGCTTTGAACCTTGGATGAGTTACCTAATGTATCCATGCATCAGTTTTGTTATCTGTCAAGCAGGAATAATGATAATACTAACTTCATATGGTGTTTTAATGTAAAGCACTTCGAATAGTGTTTTGCGCATCGTAAGCATTCAGTAAGTAGCAGTGGAGCATGGATTGTCTTATTCAGCCCCCCTGTTTTAGATACAGTGAAACTGAAACCTAGAGAGGAGATGTGATTCCTCAAGATGAAATAAGTAATTAAAGATGCTATAAAAAGTAAAGTTTGTATGTGTAAGATTGTTTAGAATATTTTATAAGTAATAATGAATTTAGTGATAAATACAGTGCATAGTGGTAACTTTAATCCCAATCCACAGGTATGGGGATGGGCTGGAGGTTATAGGGGAAGGAGATGGGTAGAGCCAGGGATAATGATATCTGGCAGGGCTCCTGAGTCTTTCATTGCTAACATTTATTGGTTGCCTGTTATGTAGACCCATCAAGCCTCTAACTTCTCCATCTTAGATAAGCTCTGTAAAAGAGTTGAGACAAATCTTTTATTTTCTGATTACATCTTTTCAGGTTCCGTTAGATGTCTTTGTATTGGCCTTTTCTCTAATTGTCTTGATAAAATTCAAGACTCAGGTTTGGAGTAAAATAGAACAGGTTATATGGTCTGTTTTGATTTGAAATTTAGGAAAAAGGGATGTCCTACATGATTCATCTCAACTTATTTAAATTTTCTATATTGAGATTTGAGGTCTTGGTCCCAGCTAATATAAAGTATAACTTTATTACTTGATTTTGTTCTGTTTGTTTCTTTGCTTATTTACTTTCTTTAGGGATTTTGTTAGGAGTGGAATTTGGGCATTCCCAGGTATCGTCATGTTATCTGACACACCATATTCTCACTGTTTTTAATGTGTACACACATACCTGTCAGTCTAAATTTCAAAAAGAGCAGAAAGAATGTTTGATAGAATATCACATTTAGGCAGTTTTGTAGCAGACAGAGGTAGTCAGTACCAAGCAGAAATTCGAGGAGACTAGGTTAAATGCTGTGGAAGAGAAGTTCTCATTTGTGTGTCATATTGATTTTTTCATTATAGGTTGCTATGGTGACAGACTATGGAGCCTTTATCAAAATCCCAGGCTGTCGGAAACAAGGTGGGAGCCTATAACTTGAAATTCCCATTCTACTCTGTCTATGTACATTCTCTGCTGTCACCCCACTATGTCTTAATTATATAGGCTCTACATTTTTCTGACAGTAGTTTTTGTATTTGTAGAGATAAGAATATAGACAAGTGATGACAGTTCACTTTGAGCAGGCCTTAATTCGAGAGATGATGGTGTCTTACTTAAGGGCTGGGGTATAGCTACTTGGGTTCACTTTTGGAACCGGCTATTCGATAGACTTTACCTGTGACCCTAGGCAAGTCACTTGGCCTCTTTGGACTTAGGATTTGGGGAAGGGCAAGCTACTTACTCTCTGAGACTGACATTCTGAGTTTTCTAGTTTATGGCACATGAAATGGAAATAGTACTGTGGCCAATACAAATATATATTCTATATATAATGCTTTAAATTATTTTTATAAGTTGATAGGCATCTATTGAGCATTTTTTGGAGAATCCCTTTCATATCTATATTCTTATTTGTTTCTCAAAACAATTCTGTTAAGTAGAAAAGACAGGCTCCACAGGTTAACAACCTGCCCAAAGTGCCATAGCTGGGTAGTGACATAGGCAGAACTAGAACTCAAGCCTTCTCCTTGTGGTAAAGTAAATTAAAGATTTTAGTATAAAAAAAGAACCATAAGTATTAGAAGTAAATATAGAAAAATATTTGACTACGTAAAAGTCAAAAATCAAATAAACAAAGTTAAATTGGGAAAAAGAATTTGCAGTACTTACAACCTAGGGTTAATTTTTAAAAAGGAGTAGATAAGACAATTCACAGAAGAAAAAAATTTCATTTGGTCAATAAATACATTAAAAAATGTTTATTCTCAGTATTAATTAAAAAGTAACTTAAAAACTGTGGTAATACATACCATGAAATACTATTAAGCATTAAAAAGAAATAAGAAAGAAGTATTAATAGATGCAACAAGCATCCACTTTCTTGAGAATTATGCTGAGTGCAAAAGCCAATCAGAGAAGATTACACAGTATGATTCCATTTAAATATTCTTTTTTTAAGAGAAGTCTTTATTGAGATGTAATTCATATACTATATATTTCATGCATTGAAAGTGTACAGTTTAATGGATTTTAATATATTTACACTTTTGCAGCCATCACTGCAATCTAATTTGAGAACATTTTTATTATCCCAGAAAGAAACCCTATACCCATTAGCAGTTATTCCTGATTGCCCCCATTCTCCCAGCCTTAGGCAACCACTAATCTCCTTTCTATCTATTTGCATATTCTGGACATTTCTTATGAAGGGAGTCATACAATATGTAGTCTTTTGTGACTGCCTTCATTCATTTAGCATAATGTTTTCAAGGTTCATTGTGTTTTAGCATATATCAGCACTTCATTCCTTTTTTTGCTATTCCAAAATGTTTTATAGATATACCACATTTTATTTACCCATTCCTCAGTTGAAGGACATTTAGGTTGTTTCTACTTTTTTGCTATTATGAATAATGTCACTGTGAACATTTTTGTACAGATTTTTGTGTGGACATGGTTTCATTTCTCTTGGTTATATAACTAGGAATGGAATCACTGGGCCATGTGGTCACTCTTATGTTTAACTTTTATGTTTAAAAACTTTTTTCTTTTAATTGTGCTTTGGATGAAGGTTTACAGAGCAAATTAGTTTCTCATTAAACAATTAAGACACATATTGTTTTGTGACATTGGTTGCCAACTCCATGACATGTCAACATTCTCCCCTTCTCAATCTTGGGTTCCCCATTACCAGCTTTCCTGCCCCCTCCTGCTTTCTAGTCCTGGCTCCTGGACTGGTTTGTCCATTTAGTCTCATTTTGTTTTATGGGATGTATGTTTAACATTTTGAGGAACTGCCAAACTATTTTCCAACGTGATTGTTGTTGTTAGTTGACATACAGTCGGTTCAGACTCAGTAGTGACCCTAAGTACAACAGAACGAAACACTACCTGGTCCTGTGCCCTCCTCAAAATCCTTATTATGCTTGAGCGTATTGTTGCAACCATTGTGTCAGTCCATCTCATTAACAGTCTTCATCTTTTTCCGACCATCTACTTTACCAAGCATGATGTCCTTCTCCAGGAACTGAGCCCTCCTGATAACATGTCCAATGTACATGAGATGAAGACTTGCCATCTGTGTACTTCTTCCAACACAGATTTGTTCATTCTTCTGGCAGCCTATAGTATATTCAATATTCTTTGCCGACGCCATAATTCAAGAGCGTCAATTCATCTTTGGTCTTCCTTATTCATTGTCCAGCATATGAAGTGATTGAAAACACCATGGCTTGGGTCAGGTGCGCGTTAATCTTCAGGGTGACATCTTTGCTTTTTAACACTTTAAAGAGATCTTTTGCTGCGGATTTGCCCAGTGCAATGCGTCTTTTGATTTCTTGACTTCTGCTTCCAGGGGTGTTGATTGTCCAAGTAAAATGAAATCCTTGACAACTTCAGTCTTTTCTCTGTTTATCATGATGTTGCTTATTGGTCCAGTTGTGAGGATTTTTGTTTTCTTTATGTTGAAGTGTAATCCATACTGAAGGCTGTAGTCTTTGATCTTCATCAGTAACTGCTTCAAGTCCTCTTCACTTTCAGCAAGGAAGGTTGTGTCATCTGCATAACACAGGTCATTTATGAGTCTTCCTCCAATCCTGATGCTCCGTCCTTCTTCAGAGTGCAGCTTCTCGTATTATTTGCTCAGCGTACAGAGTGAATAGGTATGGTGAAAGGATATGACCCTGACGCACACCTTTCCTGACTTTAAACCATGTAGTATCTCCTTGTTCTGTTCAAACGACCGCCTCTTGGTCTATGTACAGGTTCCTCATGAGCACAGTTAAGTGTTCTGGAATTCTCATTGTTTGCAATGTTATCCATATTTTGTTATTATCCACACAGTCAAATGCCTTTGCATAGTCAGTAAAACACGGGTAAACATCTTTTTGGTATTCTCTGATTTCAGTCAGGATCCATCTGACGTCAGCAGTGGTATCCCTGGTTCCACATCCTCCTCTGAATCTGATTAAATTTCTGACAGTTCCCTGTCAATATACTGCTGCAGCCGCTTTTGAATGATCTTCAGCAAAATTTTATTTGTGTGTGTGATATTAATGATACTGTGGGATAATTTCTGCATTCGGTTGAATCACCTTGCTTGGAATTAGGCATAAATATGCATCTCTTCCAGTCAGTTGGCCAAGTAGCTGCCTTCCAAATTTCTTGACATAGATGAGCAAACGCTTCCAGTGCTGCATCTGTTTGTTGAAACATCTCAGTTGATATTCTGTCAATTCTTGGAGCCTTGTTTTTTACCAATGCCTTCAGTGCAGCTTGGACCTCTTCCTTCAGTACCATCGGTTCCTGATTATGTGCTACCTCTTGAAATGGTTGAATGTCGACCAGTTCTTTTTGGTATACTGACTCTGTGTACTCCTTCCGTCTTCTTTTGGTGCTTCCTGTGTTGTTTAATATTTTTCCCGTAGAATCCTTCAATATTGTAACTCAAGGCTTAAATGTTTTGTTCAGTTCTTTCAGCTTGAGAAATGCCGAACATGTTTTTCCGTTTTGATTTTCTGTCTCCAGCTCTTTGCACATGTCATTATAATACTTTACTTTGTCTTCTCAAGCCAAGGTTTGAAATCTTCTGTTCATCTCTTTTACGTCATCATTTCTTCCTTTTGCTTTAGCTACTCAGTGTTCCAGACCAAGTTTCATAGTCTCTTCTAATATCCATTTTGGTCTTTTCTTTCTTTCCTATCCTTTTTTTTTTCACACGTTTTCCTTTTTTTTTTTTTTTTACTGTACTTCAGGTGAAGGCTTACAGAACAAATAGTTTCTCATGAAACAGTAGTACACATATTGTTTTAGGACATTGGTTAACGACCCCACAAAATGTCAACCCTCTAACTTCTCAACCTTTGTTTTTGGTGAAAATACACATAGCCAGACATACACAATTTCAAAAATTTCTACATGCACAGTTCAGTGACATCGACTATGCTCTTCAAATTGTGCTGTTATTCTCACTTAAGATGAAGGCTTACAGAACAAAATAGTTTCTCATTTAACAGTTACTACACAT